CCCTCTACCCCACCGAACCGCAAAAATAAAACGAGCATAATCTCGTTACCTGTATAAACTCAAAGACAGGCCAGAGGGGGGGTGGGAGGGGGGGGGGGAGGAATCCCTAATACATATATTGGAAGCAGCTGCTTCCTTTCCTCTCCTGTGTTGACGCTTCTGGCCGTGACGGACGTATCATATTTAATAAGACATTGTTATTGCTATCTTCATGACCCATCAAGTTATACAATACCAAAGTGTGTCCCCAAAATACAAAACAAGTCAATAAAATACAATACTTATAAAATATATATATATATATATATATAAATATATATATATATATATATATATATATATATATATATATATATAATGTATGCATTTGAAATTATTTTGTTTTTTTTATTAATATTACCACGTATGCTCGGTCACATTATACAGACCTGTTTCCCCTCAAACTCTTAAAATCGTACAATATCATCACAAAATCCCTCAATACATCTTAAAAGTAAAAAAAATAAACATACAGTACATATAATTATGCACCTCTAAATCGTACATTGTACGCCAAAATCGTAAGAGTAAACAGATCTGCATAATATTGCCTTTAATTTATTGTGTGTGTGTTTTTTTTTATGTAGGGTAACTTGGTGTTACGCTCGGTGGTACATTCGCCATTTTGAGTTGACTGGGTCTTTTTTTTTTTAAGTGGTCATGTCTTCACTTTGGGTTTGACCCCGAACCTTACTGACACAGATGCATGACGTCGCGGCCCCGTGCTGTCCCGTGAGATAGGGCTGGGTGTCACGTGTCACTGTTATCCCTGGACGGTGCGGCTTGTGTCAAGTGATATACGTTATGAAGATCAAGGGCTCTCACCCTGTAAAGATGGCCAGTAACTGCGACGAGCACAAAATTTTTCAGGGTCCCGTACCCTGGAAACTCTCCGAGCGTACCGCAATGGGTTTCATAATTCTGGACTATGCATATCGTATAAGTTGATCGGCACAGGAAATTCTTGTTGTGTGCGTCTTATCCACAGGGCGTCCAAAAAAAAAAAAAAAAATGGCGTAATCAAGTTCAAGAAGCCCTTTGATTGAAATATAAGTTCAAGGGCCCAAACATATTTTTTTTTTAAAAACGGAAGTTTTTAGATAATAATGTTTCATGTAAAATGTGGTCGGCCATGCGCACTTCCTTCGTGCATCCGGAATGAACAAATGTGTTCATATAATAATAATGTTGTTGTTTTTTTCTCCGAAATTTACGCTCTCGTGCATTCAGTATTGTTTAATGTTATACACACACACACATATCTTAGTTAGCGTTCTATTTCTTAACACCCAATAGACGGTACTATACTGAAAGTCATAAAATTCAAACCCCAGGTGGTCAAGTGGTCGGCAGACTTTCTCTTACAGTTTGTTTGAAACGAGGTCGAATTCAGCTGAGGTACTTACTTCGTCATCTCTCGTCACATCATAGAAGTGTTAGTGTTTTGCAAATCGTTCAGCGCTTTAAAATTATGCAGAGGAAAATCTGTTTTTTGTTGTTGTTATCATTATTATTGTAATTATTATTAATTATTATTATTGTTATTACTAGTAGTATTGTTATGGTTATTATTATTATTAATTATTCTTATTATTATTATTATTATTGTTATTATTATTGTTATTGTTATTAATATTAGTATTGTTGTTATTATTATTATTACTTATTGTTATTGTTATTGTTGTTTTTGTAATTATTATTATTATTGTTATTGTTATTATTATTATTATTATTATTGTTATTACTATTATTATTATTATTATTATTATTATTATACAGCGACAAGCATGCTTTAAAAAAGACTCAACTGATTAAGGGTCACGTGTTATTTTATCAATAATAATTTATCTGATCATGGTCTGTTTCAAAGTGAAAAAGAGGGAAAATGGCGGACAATTTGTCAAACAGCAACTATTGCCTGGATGCTAGTCGGTCAAGATGTTAGCTCTTGAAGCAGGCGCAAGTTTTCTCAGGGCACACTGACAGGGCATCATTGTTTTGTCTTTTTCTGAGTCGATGCACACGCTTGTTTTGTTTTGTTTTGTTTTTTGTTTTTGTTTTTTTTTTTTTTTTTTTTTTTTTTTTTTTTTTTTTTTTTTTTTTGTTTTTTTTTTTTTTTTTTAAGATGGCTGACAAGGAAATTCTAAAATCTGTTCAGCCTTGTAGTTTCTCTTGCTTGAAACAATATCTAAATAACAATTAGGGACAGCACGATCTGGTGGTAACAACTCTACTGATCCGTTAAAGCCGACGATTACCAGGTTCACGCCTCCTAGTGATGTGGATCGACACCAAGGATCTCTGCATTTTTTGGGGGGGCAGATAACTCGTGTGTGTGGCTCTTATTGGAGAATTTCTGTGTGAGGCGCATTTACGGCTAATTTCTCCTTTGTTTGGTGATATGAGTTTGCAAGTATATTATCATTCTTTAATTTCTTTAATTTTTTTTTGGCTCCTTGTTCTTGGTCATTATTGTTAGACCTACACGGATTCATTAGTGTTACGGTGTCTTGTCTCCGATTAATGCTTTGTCTGCCTGACAGTTGTTGACGATGAGATTAAATAATATAATAGTTTTATACCACACAACAAATATTTTATTCTCTAACCGCCTTATATGGTATCAATTAAAATATTAATGTCACGTCATTTCCATCCCCTTTTCTATTTTATTATCTTCAAAAAGTGATGTTAAGATGGTCAGTTTGCGTAAATAATAATCAGATGTATGCCCTGCTGGTCAGTGTAGGAAAATATGAGCAATTAAAGAATGGGTGTCCAGTTGGTCACTAGGATATGCTTAAGAAATGCAACAATAGACGTGTAGTCCATTGTAACCAGGTGTACGTGAGTAGTGTCAGGATATACACCAGGCAGTTTTGAGGTTATAGATCTGGTCGTTTTGAGGATAGACATCGGGTAGTTTTGAGGATAGATATTAAGTAGATTGAGGATAGATTTTATGTAGATTTCGGGATGGATATCAGATAGTTTTTAGGATAGACGTCAGGTAATTTGAGGATTGATATCAGGTACTTTTGATGATAGATATTAGGTAGTTTTGATGATAGATATCAGGTAGTTTTGAGGATAGATATCAGGTAGTTTTGAGGATAGATTTTATGTAGTTTTTGGGATGATATCAGATAGTTTTGAGGACATATATCAGCTAGTTTTGAGGATAGATATCAGGTAGATTTTTTTGGATATTTATCAGGTAGTTTTAACCTAGTTTAATGATAAGATGAGCGTCTAAAATGCTATAAAAAAGTCAAACTTATACAGTAGCATTCGTTTTGGATTTCTGAGTGTGATAGTGAACGAAGTGATAGAGATGACTTTTGATTCAATTCAATGATTACTACCACCCGAAGACAATATCTCTTCGTGTTACTGACTTTTTTTATTTTAGTATATGCTGAAAACTTTAAACGTCACATTGGAGATGGCGTCGGTTGTCGTCGAGCGCGAGCTCATAATCCCCCCCCCTCGGCACAACCCCACACGGGTCGACGCTGGGTCTTCCCACCGCCAGACCATGCGGAAGCACGTCAGGAACCTCCCCCTGGCCTGGTGGACGTCCGGTTGACTGAAAACATGCGTTTAAAGCGTTCGCGGTCCACTCTCCTTATCATTATTGGGTCTGAACGGCTTTGCTTCCTCTCCGGGGGAAAGATGTTGCGTTACCTCTCCCCCCCCCCAACCATCCAGGGAGTTGTCCGGTCAGGACGTAAGGGGGGACGAAATGATCATCTAGGAGCGGCTTTCTCGGGGCCGCGTAGTTAAAAATCATCGGCAAGGGTTTTGACCGCCACCCAGACCTCATATCCATTAACGGCAACAAGTAATCATGTTATTGCGTTCGTCCCGTTACTTTGCGAGTCATGTAGTCGCCGGGTTTTTTTACCTCCCTACTTGTCTGCCACGAAGAGGCAAAAACCCCAAGTGGACGCCCTGAAGTTTCCTCGGAGAGGCTCCGCTTCCGCGGACAGAAAAACTTTAAACAAGTTATTCAAACTGTCATGCTCTTATTACGTGTATTTTATTCATGTCACTTCAGCATCAGACAAATGGAATAAAAGTTTCAATCTTTTTATTACTTTTCCTAAAATTTTCTCTTTAATAATTTTTTTAATAAATTTTTAAAAAAAATGTTTTTAATGTTTGATTGATTTTTTTTTTTTTTTATGAGCACATGAAATTTTTCTTTATTAATATTTAATTCTAGGTGTTAAAAATCAAGAACAGGTTCTTCTGTCGAATGACGTAGAGCAAAGAACACTTCAGCAGCCGAGCTCAGCGTTTGTCTATCAACCGGAGCTCTGAGTTGAACACCAAAAAGGTCCAGAGTAGAAATGGACGACACGAAGACAAGACTTAGAACTGATCAAGGCAGCGCACAACAAATATCTACATCTTATTTCAGATTCGAATCTGTTTAAAACGTTGATATCGATACTTGTCGAATGTTTAAATTATAACCGATTTGCAAGAAGTCGAGCCAATTGTTTACAATCAAGAAGGAACAGTTGGTAAGAATCCATCGAGGTATTTCAACCGTCAGGAAGAGGTGGGGGGGTCACTAACGGAGTGAGTGCGCAACTGTTGAAAGATCTTGCAGTGGACTCATGTTAGCGATGCACCAGAAACATTTATAAACAGGCGTGACATTTTTATGAAATCAATGAGTGTGGTCCGGAGGTTCATTCACAACAAGAACAACAGACAATAACAAATTTCCTTCTCCGGTGAGCCGAACACCTTCAGAATGACATTCGAAACACCCATGCGCCTATCTAGGACGTGCAACTCAGTTTATAGATGTGATTACCAATACCAAACATTACTCTACTTTTAGAATCACAAGTAAGCTGTTCTGGTGAATCTTCTCAAAACTAAGTCATACCGTGGTTCTACGCCGTACTTAAAAAAAAAAGCATTCTAATAATTATAAAATAACAATGAGTGACGTGAGAAATGAAACTAATGTAACCGACGAATCCAATTTTTGGTCAACAGTCGACTTCAACGCCCTCTACAGGTCCCGGACGGTCATGGATTCCATCTTCATCGCTCTCGGGACACTCTTCAACACGTGGCTGATTCTCGCCATCTTAACCTCATCCCCGCTGCGTTCGCGCATGCGCAATAAGATCCTCGTCAGCCTATCCGTTTTATTCCTCAGCGAGTCCGTGGTCCGCGGGCCGATCCAGGTCATGGTGTTTCACAAGCTGTGGAACGGCGTCGACGTTGACTGCCGCGTCATCACCAGCATCTATAACATACAGCTCATGCAGGACTTCATATCGAACTGGACGCTGGTGCTGATGATCCTGTTCTACCTCGCCCAGCTCGTGGACTTCAAGCCTCACCTGCCGTTCACATCTCTGGGGACCACCCTGGCTACGGTCGGCGTCATCGCGCTGCCTTGGGCCGCCTCGCTGGTCACCGTGCCGTCCATCATGAAGGACTACCACAACCGGCTGAACACCACGGGATATCTGCAACGGTGCGTCCACCCGACCAATGACGCGTACGTCGTCTTCAAGTCCATCGACTCGGCCGTGCCCTTGATTGTGGCCGTGGCCGTCACGGCCGTGGCTGTGGTGTTGCGGCGACGAAGGTTCGCGCCGAGGTCTTCCACCCCGGGGATGCAAGTGGAACTGATGAGCAAAGGACCGGAAGTCGACGAACACACGCCGTACGTGGCGACCACCGTCACGTCGGCCCTGTGCAACATTGGAGTCGTGCTGCTGTGCTTCGACGTGGCGATCCACAACCCTTTAGCTAGGCAAGTCTTAATAAGATAAGGTTTCGATCATGTACCGTTGGTTTTGGTGTTACTGGGGGGGGGGTGACGGTGACCTGCTTGAATGTGATACTAATTAAATTAACGACAAAGAGACTTGATTAGGGGTGCAGCCAGGGATAGTGCCACCCTTGGCGTGAGAATGCTTTCCGCTCCCAACAACTTCCACGAAAAAAACTCTGCAGTTTGCGAGAGTGCCGCCCTTGGACACGAAAAAAAAAACCTTCAGTTGGCTATTTCTTTATTGCACCCATCCAAATGAAGAATATAGGGCCGACAGAGGCGTATCATCCCCTCCCCCCCCCCAACCCCACTTTCCTCCGCGACTGCACCGGACATGTGCTCGAGAAGATATCCAAACAACACAACAGGGATTTGATGGTATGGGAGGACACTAACAAGTACTACGCCTTAATTTTTAAAGCAACCGCTCAGGTGAAAATGTGGGGGGGGGGGGTCATTTGCGACACTCCCTGGCACCGCTGTTAAGCTGAAGATACCGGATTGATGTTTTACTCAGCATTGAATTGGTTCCCTTTCAGAACATTTTATTTACGTTTGCCTTCCATTTGGCGAAATTAAGGATCCGTACTGGGTTTAACTCATGGTTTTTGGAGCAGGCGTTTGACCGATCTCCGCTCCAATTCTCTTCGAACAAATGTTGTCAACACCCAGCTCCGAACTCCAGAACAATTAAAAAGTGGGGAGAGGTGATTGGGAAAAAAAAAGAGCAGGGGTCAGAGTGTTTAAAAAAATGTGTTTATTATTGTCACGTAGAAGAGTGGGACAAAGTATTTGGTAAAATAGTGGGACAACATAACTGGTAGAAAAGTGGGGCAACATAGCTGATAGAAGAGTGGGGAAACATAACAGTAAAAGAGTGTGGAAATTTAAGTGGTAAAAGAACAGGGCACCCATTCTAAAGACATTAAAATTTTAAAAATGTAAGTACAAATTATGCTTTTTAATTTTTAATTTTTTTTTAACTTCATTTATTCAAATTCGTTGGAGCTGTCAGAAATGGCACCGGTTCCAGCAACACTGCAGTTCCGGGCAAAAGGACCCTCCGTGCTCCACTCCAAATCCCTGCTGACCCCCCCACCCCCCCACCCCACACCCCCCCCCAAAAAAAAGAAGATATCGGGGCTCCTAACACTAATGGAATCCATTGTTGCCCTATGTTTGTACCGAATTAGAATGAAATAATCTATGATGGTTGTCGGAACTCCAAATCCCTGCTGATCCCCCCACCCCCCCACCCCACTCCCCCCCCCAAAAAAAAGAAGATATCGGGGCTCCTAACACTAATGGAATCCATTGTTGCCCTATGTTTGTACCGAATTAGAATGAAATAATCTATGATGGTTGTCGGTGGAGATAATTTAAGGGGTGAACACAAGGGTTCCCCAATGCAGGGCGTACGCCCTCACAAAAGGGGCGACTTTTAAAATTATTGAGTGGGGCATTTCATCTTCTAGAATGGAAATTCATATACGTTTTTACAAACACGGAGAGGGGGGAAAAAAAAGGGGTGGTTTGTTTTCAATAATTGCAATAAAGCATGTCTTTCACTTATTCCCGGCACTAGGGGTGTCACTAACTCTAGCTACACCATTGCATTTTTATAATGTGGACAGTTTTCTGTTGTTGTTTTGATTGTAATAAGGTACTTGAGATATGTACAGCATTATCATTTGATCGTTTGAGCAGCCTAGCCTAATTTATAGAAGTATGATGCATCTTCTCATCTCTCTCCTGTAACATTTAGGCTGTTGTTTGTCGTCATCTCTGTCCTGCTCTCAGACGCCCGAGTCTACCTGATCCCCGTCTCCTGGCTGCTGTTCGGTGACGTCAGAGAACGGCTGAGGACGTGGCGACCGTGGTACCGCCCCGGCCCGGGCATCGACTTAACAGTGAACTACAGCCGCAACGGTCCTGAACATTTTTAATTGAACTTTTTTTTTTTTTGGTTATATAGATATAGGTCAGCTCTCCAACGTCAGTACAGTGAGACGGCATTTTACACTGGTTTAGGAACTTATAGCTGGAAAAGGTCGGCTCGCAGAAAAGATCGGCTCGTCAACTTTAGTACAGGAAGGGCCCATGGAGGTTATTCAAAAGGAATAAAAAGCTCTCGTGGACCTCGATAGCAAAAGACAACATCAACCATTTTAAAAAAAAAGTGTTTAAGAGAAATGTATTAAAAAATTAAGATGAAAATGTAGAAAGTAGTTTCTCAAACACGGGAGCCTTAATGTCCCACACAATGTCACCGCCCGCTTAAACGCCTGCCTAATTCTCGATAAAGAATACTGTCACTGTTTATTTATAGTAATAAAGAATACTGTCACTGTTTATTTATAGTTATAAAGAATACTGTCACTGTTTATTTACAGTTATAAAGAATATTGTCACTGTTTATTTACAGTTATAAAAATACTGTCACTGTTTATTTACAATTATAAAGAATACTGTCACTGTTTATTTACAGTTATAAAGAATATTGTCACTGTTAATTTAAAGTTATAAAGACTGCTGTCACTGTTTAGTTATAGTTATAAGGAATACTTTCACTGTTTATTTAGTTATAAAGAATACTTTCACTGTTTATTTAGTTATAATGAATACTTTCACTGTTTATTTATTGTTATAAAGAATACTGTCACTGTTTATATATATTTATAATGAATACTTTCACTGTTTATTTATTGTTATAAAGAATACTTTCACTGTTTATTTAGTTATAAATAATACTTTCACTGTTTAGTTATTGTTATAAAGAATACTTTCACTGTTTATTTAGTTATAAAGAATACTTTCACTGTTTATTTATAGCTATAAAAAATACTGTCACTGTTTATTTATAGTTATAAAGAATACTGTCACTGTTCATTTACAGTTATAAAGTATACCGTCACTGTTTATTTATAGTTATAAGGAATACTTTCACTTATATTTAGTTATAAAGAATACTTTTACTGTTTATTTATAGTTATAAAGAATACTGTCACTGTTTATTTATAGCTATAAAGAATACTGTCACTGTTTATTTATAGTTATAAAGAATATTGTCACTGTTTATTTATAAATATAAGGAATATTGTCACTGTTTATTTATAGTTATAAAGAATATTGTCACTGTTTATTTATAGTTATAAAGAATATTGTCACTGTTTATTCATAGTAATAAAGAATACTGCCACTGTTTATTTATAGCTATAAAGAATACTGTCACTGTTTATTTATAAATATAAGTAATATTGTCACTGTTTATTTATAGTTATAAAGAATATTGTCACTGTTTATTTATAGTTATAAAGAATATTGTCACTGTTTATTCATAGTTATAAAGAATACTGCCACAGTTTATTTATAACTATAAAGAATACTGTCACTGTTTATTTACAGTTATAAAAAATACTGTCACTGTTTATTTATAGTTATAAGGAATACTTTCACTTATATTTAGTTATAAAGAATACTTTCACTGTTTATTTATAGCTATAAAGAATACTGTCACTGTTTATTTATAGTTATAAAGAATACTGACACTGTTTATTTATAGTTATAAAGAATGTTGTCACTGTTTATTTATAGTTATAAAGAATATTGTCATTATTTATTCATAGTTATAAAGAATACTGTCACAGTTTATTTATAACTATAAAGAATACTGTCACTGTTTATTTATAGTTACAATGAATACTATTACCGTTTATTTATAGTTATACAGAATACTGACACTGTTTATTTATAGTTATAAAGAATGTTGTCACTGTTTATTTATAGTTATAAAGAATATTGTCATTATTTATTCATAGTTATAAAGAATACTGTCACAGTTTATTTATAACTATAAAGAATACTGTCACTGTTTATTTATAGTTACAATGAATACTATTACCGTTTATTTATAGTTATAAAGAATACTGTCACTGTTAATTTATAGTTATAAAAAATACTGTCAATGTTTATTTATAGTTATAAAGAATACTGTCACTGTTCATTTACAGTTATAAAGAATACTGTCACTGTTTATTTAGTTATAAATAATACTTTCACTGTTTATTTTGTTATAAAGAATACTGTCACTGTTTATTTATAGTTATAAAGGATACTTTCACTGTTTATTTATAGTTATAATGAATACTATTACTGTTTATTTATAGTTATAAAGAATAATGTCACTGTTTATTTATAGTTATAAAGAATACAGTCACTGTTTATTTATAGTTATAAAGAATACTGTCACTGTTTATTTATATTTATAAAGAATACTATCACTGTTTATTTACAGTTATAAAGAATACCGTCACTGTTTATTTACAGTTATAAAGAATACTGTCACTGTTTATTTAGTTATAAATAATACTTTCACTGTTTATTTTGTTATAAAGAATACTTTCACTGTTTATTTATAGTTATAAAGGATACTTTCACTGTTTATTTTTACAGTTATAATGAATACTATTACTGTTTATTTATAGTTATAAAGAATAATGTCACTGTTTATTTATAGTTATAAAGAATACAGTCACTGTTTATTTATAGTTATAAAGAATACTGTCACTGTTTATTTATATTTATAAAGAAGGCTGTCACTGTTTATTTATAGTTATAAGAGATATTTTCACGGTTTATTTATAGTTATAAAGAATACTGTCACAGTTTATTTATTATTATAAGGAATACTTTCACTGTTTATTTATATTTATAAGGAATACTGTCACTGTTTATTCATAGCGATAAAGAATGCTGTCACTGTTTATTTATAGTTATAAAGAATACTGTCACTGTGTATTTACAGTTATAAAGAATACTTTCGCTGTTTATTTATAGTTATAAAAATACTGTCACTGTTTATTTATAGTTATAAAGATTACTGTCACTGTTTATTTATAGTTCTAAAGAATACTGTAACTGTTTATTTATAGTTATAAAGAATACTGTCACTGTTTATTTACAGTTATAAAGAATACTGTCACTGTTTATTTACAGTTATAAAGAATATTGTCACGGTTTATTTATATTTATAAAGAATGCTGTCACTGTTTATTTATAGTTATAAGGGATATTTTCACGGTTTATTTAGTTATAAAGAATACTTTCACTGTTCATTTAGTTATAAAGAATACTTTCACTGTTCATTTAGTTATAAAGAATACTTTCACTGTTCATTTAGTTATAAAGAATACTTTCACTGTTTATTTAGTTATAAAGAATACTTTCACTGTTCATTTAGTTATAAAGAATACTCGAGACGATGCGGTTCACACCGTGACTAATTTCATTATCGACACTCAGATGATCCACAACAATAAATATGTTTCACAGAAATATGAAGATACATTCGAATCACATCACACCAATTTCAATTCCTGTTTTACTTCCATAATATAACCTTCTTTGAGCTGAAAATTGTCTTCACAAAATCCTGACCACGTCAACGGTCCTGCTCACTCTACCATTATTGTAACGCTTCTTTTCTTTAATCCAACACTCTGATTGGCCAGTCCTCTCAAAGTCCCGAAGCTCTGTATATTACATCACTTGTCTCCCATCAGCGGTTCACATAGCCATGGTGATGATATCTGCGACAAATACACTTTATTGATACGATGCTGATTGGGCTTTTGGGTTAAACTGTTCGCCAACGTTTAGCTATGCAGTGAGTGTTCTGCCCAAACGGAAATAGAAGCATCTAATCATGAGCATAAACTTTACACATCACACATATAGAAACTGATGTAAAGTTTGGGACAGCAATCTCTCACCGAAATTGAACAGAGTTAATCGAGAAGATCAACTACAGAAATAACAAAATATACGTATGTATATCAAATAAATAGTGGAGTAAAATATGTAATATTATTTTGTTTGCCAACCGAGTTTCGATGACTGTTACTGCTCTGATGTTAACACTTAAATAATTAATAAAAACATATAGGTGTTGTATGTTTTGGTGGGTTTTTTTAGTTACATCGTCTTCTGTGTTTTGTTGTTTTTTTTTTTTACTTATATAGAATTTTATTTAGGTAATATTCTTAAGAAGTGACGTAAAGAGGTTTACAGAAAACCCTGGTTATGATGTTCCCTTTGTGGCACAAAGTTATAGAATATAAAGTAATTACAAAATAATTACAACAATTGCAATCATAACTGCTAAGGGTTGAAAAACATTTTTTTAATGAACTCTTTAGCAAAACAAAAAACAAAAAAAAAACAAAAAAGAAATAAAAATGGAATCGGGAGCTTGGACTCTCCATTATAAAAATAAATTGAATATACAATTGAGAAGAATAAAAATCAATTAAGTGAGTACCACTGGTTAATTAAATCAGGTTTTTTTAAAATTTATTTCTCTGTTTGGGTGATCTTATTTTCGTTATCCGTTGGCTCTATTTGTTGTTTAAAATAATATCCGATACTTAAGTCGACTGTGTGATCGAAGGCACTTGGGAGAGTATTACATTTTAAAGAGTGGCAAACACATCCGATGTTTTATAATTGGTTCATTATCTTGATAAGCGTTCAGAACTTCTTTTAGTCATTCGAACAGTAGCTCCTTCGTTAACTATTTGCATGTGACATTGACCCGGACATGTGGGAAGTGTCCTCAAATGATCGAGACTCGTGGCACTTCTCCTTACACGAAAAAATGGGGGGGGGGGGGGGGGCCATACAAGATGAGACTGACAGAACAGCTGCTGGGCTCAGTGCAACATGAGGCTGACAGAACAACTGCTGCAGAACGCAAAAGATAACCCAGAAAATCCCATGTAACCGGAGTTGTCCCATCCATCCCTTGCACCGCCTGCACCAGAACACCTCGTGCCAGAATTGACCCGATGAGCCATCTGCGCACCCACAGGCGGATTCAGCCCCGGCCTCGAGCCGATGTTTTAAGTTTTCACGATCGACTTTTGACAGACGAACTGTCATCATTTGT